GGGCATTGGGATCGCCCATGGCACACAAACATGAACTTCATGCCACTGAATTTGTAAACCAGCAGCCTAAAGCTCTGAAAGTCTGTGCCTGAACTGAGCATTTATTCTCTCTATGCTGGTGCACATTATAGTGTCACTATTTATTACAGCATCACAGTTTCAGGTGAACTGTGATTAGAAGTGGGAGACATATGTCAAACAGCTCCTTTTGTAAACAGACTTTGCCTCAAAGTCACGGTGATCACAGCAACTAGTGCTCCGAGAGGAGCCAAAAGTTCTATCACTCAGAAGATGGTCTGGGGGAGGGTTCATTTGCAGGCTCTTGATTAAGCTGAAAAAATTCTATCACCTAGGTGTCTGAAGTCTGTTTTGGCTTTAGGGTGTGTGGACACCTGAAAATAAATTCCGTAAGCCCTGGTTTGTGCTGCTGTGGGTGAATAGCACAGGTTGGATCCATTCACTTTTCAGTCTGGCACGTTTTAAACTTGTAGTGGGTGTACTGCTTGTACTCTCAGGAACTCTATGTGTGGTTAAAAATCATATGAGATGTTTGCTAAACATCCTTGAAGCTAATGTGGATGGATAAAATAGAACTATTGCAAGGATGCCATTTTGATTGTAGACATAGTTGCCTGTTACTTTATCCTTTTGATGACACTGGTTCTGGTTTGGCTTTTTACCTTAAAAAAATATGAACAGAAAACCCATGAGTTAAAGATTCTGATAACTGAACTCCTTTTCTTCCTCCTGTCCATCTGGAATACTTGCAGAGATACTGTGTTTATCAGCTGCTACATCAAAGGTTAATTTTCAACTCCCCAAATGGGTTGTGGGGTTTACTTTGTGTATCATGGTTTGCCGGAGTCATTCAGGGGTTTGGTGTAAAAGAAGCATTCTCTGTGTTAATTTTCTGTTTGCACTTTTGCTCTGAATAAAAGCCCTGGACCTGTTTGTAGGGGGAATTGTGGTCGGGAATTGTACTTTGGGAAGCTGTGCCTGAAAGCATCCAGGCAGGTCAAAGCAAGGTCACTGCACATGTCCCAGGAAATGATGCAAAACTGATCCAGATTTGCTGTTGGAAGGAGCTGTTTACGTAAGTATTTAGAAACAGATTAGGGCTAACCTGACACTAGATTACTGGGAGCAGTGTAAACATGGCTGAAAGGTGTAAACAGAGCTTGGCCTTTTGTACTGCAGAGGAGAAAATCTGTCACCAGGACCCAGTTGCCTGGCTCAGGTGATATATGTGGTTTTCACAGGCTGAACAGATTACCTGAGTTACCTCTAAATGGGACTTTGTCTGGGGCTAGATCTCTCCATCAAATAATTGTATGGTAATTCTCTTAGTGGCGAGTGGAGGGGCTTGTTTGTGGTCTTTGTTCTCCAGTAACCTGATAGCACTCAGAAAGCTTTTGATAGTTCTTTGATATATCAGGAGGAAATGGGGCTTCAAAGTGTTGGGTTTGTGGTTTGAATTTTGGAAAAACAAACAGAGGAACCATCCGTGTGCCTTTGGAAACGTAGCACAGCTTATGGAAGCGCAAAGCACTCCTGTTCGGGGACTTCTGGTCTGAGATACAGAAATTTGGTACACCTTTCTACAATGTATTTCCCAGCCCAACCTTAACATGGCTGGCTGTTGTGCCTTTGGTCTTTGTGGCAATGCTCTTGAACTGACGTTTTGCCAGCCCTCGTGGTGGCCCAGGGTGTTTTAAGACCTGGCTGTTGTGATTGTACAACCCCAGAGGCATAGCATCCATCAAGGTGGGTTTGGGGCTCTGCAGTAACATGACTCAGTAATGATAAGGTGGGCAACACAAATATTGCTGCAAATACAAGGTTTTGAGGAACTGCTTCTACAAGGACTTTCTTGCCAAAAATTTGAAAGGGGAAATAACTTCCTTGTTGGTTAAACACTGTTTGCTGCAACACCAAGTGAGAGTGACCTTTCTCCTTTGGCTTCTCTAGGGAAGAAAAAGAGCTCTGGATACGTGCAAAATATGAGCAGAAGCTCTTCCTTGCCCCGCTGCAGTGCCTGGAGCTTTCTCTGGGCCAGCATCTCCTGAGGGCTACAGCCGAAGAGGACTTGCGAATGGTCATCCTGCTCCTTGCCCATGGGACTCGGGAAGAGGTGAATGAGACTTGCGGAGACGGTGACGGACGCACTGCCCTCCACTTGGCGTGCCGGAAGGGAAATGTGGTGTTAGTGCAGCTCTTGATTTGGGTAAGTGCTTGGTGGCCAGGGGAGGGGACTGGCTGGGTGGGCTTTCGTTTGGCTGTGTCCCTCAGCAAGGCATCCCTCACCTGCCACTGAGGGTTTCACAAAGGTGATGTCCTGGGGCAGGATGCTCCTCACCGTGCGTTCTCCAAATGCAACATCATGGTAAAAAGTGTGTGTCTCTGCCTGTCTGTTACTTGATGAAAAGTAAAGGAGTGCATACAAAATGAGGAAGGAGAGATGCCCTTAGCTTGGAGTACCACTGGGACAGATTTTGTTCCAAACATGAGACTCCCTTCCCATAGAAACCTTTATGTATCTGGCTCAATCCTCCTATGCTCATGTTGTCGGGCAGGTGTCCTGCCTGTTCCCTCTTCTGCCTCTCTCCACCCTGCCTTAAATCCAAATCTGTCCCTCCAAAATCTGCTTCCTCTTATTTCAATGCTCCGTTAGCACTGCAGCTCCCAACACGACCTCTTCTTCCCACAGTATGGCGTGGATGTGATGGCACGTGACGCCCACGGGAACACAGCCCTGGCCTATGCCCGGCAGGCTTCCAGCCAGGAGTGCATCGACGTTCTCCTCCAGTATGGCTGCCCCGACGAGCGCTTCGTCCTCATGGCCACTCCAAACCTGTCCAGGAAGAACAACAACCGGAATAACAGCGGCGGAAGCATGTCCATCATCATCTGAGGAGCTCACTTGTGTATTCACTGACCTGAATTACATCCGCAGCCTCATATTCCTCCATCTCCATTGCAGCTCTGCTCTGTGAGTCTGGTAACTCTCCTTTTCCCTTTTCCCTTCGGTACATCCCTGTCCCATCTGGAGTCTGGAGAGCGCGAGGGGATGAGAAGGAGCCAGAGGGGCTGCCGAGAAAGCAGTTGTTTCAGTGACAGCTCCTGAATGATGGAAACGAGCGTGCGAGGGTGTGTGGGTTGAGTAGGACACGCCGTGCGTGGTGCTGAGACCACGGGAGAGCGGTCGCCCCGGCGCGGGGGGACACGCAGGCTCCCCGAGCGCGGAGGGAAGGGGCGGCGGGAGAGGCGAGCGAGAGGAGAGGGAAGGAGAGATGGTGACTTTCCGTAACTGACAGTTAAGCACATCAGTACATTTCACCTCTACCAAACGCGCCGCCTGGATTTCATTCTCTTCTCTGAAGAGCTTGACAGCATAAATCAGAAGCAAGCACAGAGTTTGTCAGGTTTGAAGCTCCTATGATGGTATGTGTCAAATCAGTTGTAGCTAATCTGTCCAGGGAGAATACTGGCTTCATTACACTTGTATAGTTGAGTTCTTCCAGCATTACTGCTGTTTAATAGAACATGATTAGTCATCACGGAGAAAAAAGCATATTAGCTGAGGAGGTAGTTACATGGCACGCTTCGGTGATTGCTTGGATGTGATTGCAATATTCTTAGAAGCATCATATTATCTCAGACATGTTCTCTCAAGCCCTTGGAGCCCTCCTTTCTAAATTCACTGTCATAATTTAGTATCTGTTTAATTTTTCAGTCCAAAGAGAGGAAATGAGTTGCTGAGTGTTATTTGACTGCAGTCTCCTTGGTGTAAAAACAAAATGGAAAAAATAAATAAGAGTAACTCTGAAACACAAAAAGTAATAATGAATACCACTATGGAAAAAAGCATTTCAAGTATGTTCAGTGAAATTAATATACACATTAAAGGCTATTTTTTTTTCCAGCCAGCAGAAATAGGTTCTGTCATTTTGCCAAGGTAAATCGTGTTGAGTTTTTGGTCACTCCTGTGATGCATTGCCTAACTTATACAGATTTTTGTATTGTGTCTCTAGATTCTATGTATGTAAAATCTATTTGAATAAAAAAAGCATAAATATACATTGATTTTTTTTGTACAGAAAGTGACATCTCTGTTAATTTATAAACTGTAATGGATGTGAACTAAATAATGTGCAACTAGTTAGGATCTGTGGGTTACAGATCATTGTACATTGATAATATTCCCAGCAGTGAACTCTTGTTTCCATCGCAAGCTTGCGAGCAACATATCCAAAGATCAGGGCACGTTTGGCATGGAAAAAAGGTGTATGAGACCTTTCAGACAGGAGTAAGAGGCTATAAATGTATTTTGCTCCAGAAGTCAGGAAGCTTTCACAAGCCAAGACAAAAGGCTCTTCTGAGTGGGGGCAGCTCAGGTTTGATTCCGCTCACAACTGAGAGCATTCCCCGCGCTAGGCAGGGCACGGCTGCGCTTGGCTCCCGGTGTGGCTGCATCAGGAGGAAAAATGGCTTGTGAAAGGAGCCTGGACAAGTCATTTGAACTCTGAGTTTTAGTACTTGCTTTGGTTGTTTTGGTCTTACCAGGCAGCTACCAGCCCCTCCTGTGTTCCAGGAGCAGGGTTCTGGCACGGGGAGGCAGATTGCATGGGTTTTGGCAGGCAGAACAGTGATTTATTTTTTTCAAGTGGCATATGGCCACTTCAAATGTGAAGATGGGGGAAGGGTATATCACAGAGAAAGTTGAAAACTCAACTGAATTTGATGGCAAAGGAGCAATTACATGGAGGCAGTGAGGTGCACACAGTATAGTAATTTGCAATCTACCTGCTCATGTGTATTTCCCAAGCCTTCAGTGCTGCTCTTCCTCTGGGCTCTGGATTTCGTTTAGCATGCAGATGGGAGGGGCATAGCAATTGCTAAATAAACTATGTGGACAAAATGCAAAGGAAAAAACATGATCTGGTTATCTTAAGAGGGAAAAAATCAGAAAATACGGATTTGGTGTAAAGTCGTCAAATGGTGGCAGAAAAGTGAGCCTCAAAGTGGAAGCACAGGAATATTGACAAGCTATTCCCCTTTGATGGTGTTCTCACTTTGTTGCTGTATTAGACCTTTGACTATTTGGGGGTGGAAATCTCTTCAACCAGTGTAGGCTGAGTGCATCAGAATAAGGACACAGCTGACTCCCTTCATGCTGGGATAAAGTTTTGGGGTTTTTTAGTTAAGGAAAGGTGCCTGTTGTAATTGCCATTTGTCCATCATTCCCATGCTTCCTGATCTTACAGGTGTTCCTTGAGCAGTGGGCCAGCACAGCTAATGTGCCCAGCTGCCTGGGTGCTGTGCCGCTCGCTGTGTCTGTGGGGAGCACAACAGAGACTCTGTAATAACAACCCCAGAGGTGCTAGAGCTGCCTGCTGTTCCCCTGGCAGCATCAAGGGCATTTGTATCCAAAAACCAAGCCCAGTGTTTCAAACCCAGAGTGTAGGCAGATTCGCCACCGTTAAGTTCTCAATGCACGTTCCATTTCAGTGCTGGTTTTTCCTAATTGAAATCATTTTCTCTACATAATTTAATGCTCTCTTTGGCCACATTCCTCTTGCAAAGCTGAGAGTGATGTTTGAGAAACAAGGGCAACCAGGCTGTCATGTAGATTTCAGGTAGATAAATTATGTGCTCCTTCCATAAACATTTTCTGCAGGCGACCCTTGAAAAAACACAGAATATTTTTAAGACAAGAAATTCCAGTGTATTTTAGGTAAAAATGTACATCCAGGCTAGCCAACCAATATTTCAATTAAGTGGTAGCACAGTTGCTTTTAACCTGAACGTAGTTTTCCCTTGGAGGTGTAAGTGTTGGCAGTGTAGACTGTGTGATGGCTTCCCAAACGTATGGGGGTCTGCGTGGAGGACACCCGGTCAGGGAACAGCAGCAATCCCTCTGAGGGACAGGAGATGGTAGAATATCCCGACTTGGAAGGGACCCTCTGGATGAGATCACCCAGCACTGTCTCTTCCAGTCAGGAGACACTGTCCCTGGTGCTACAGCTGGTGAGGCTTCACCACAGGACAACAGATGAAGGTCTGTGCCTCGTGGGGTGTTGGCACAGTATCCCCCACTCAAATAGGTTTGGTTGGAAAGCTGGGAGAAGTGTTGTGGCACATCCTGAGCGAGCAAGTGGGACACTTGGCAAGGAAGTCTCCATCCCCTTCTTGCGTGGTGAAAAGGAGGGGAAAGCCCTTCCCACTGGAGTTGAGAATGAGGATGGAGGAAGGTCATAGAATCATAGAATCAACCAGGTTGGAAGAGACCTTAAAGATCATCAAGTCCAACCCTACCGTCATTAGTCCAACCCTACCTATCTCCGTGGCTGTGTCCCAGCAGGGCTTGGCTTTGGGAGTTCCATGTGCTTTTCAGGGGATGCGTTTGCACTTTGCAAAGGATGTTCTCAAAGCCATCCAGGTGTGGAATCAGGCAGTATACACCAGCACTTGGAGCACCTGCAGGAATCATTGTTCCCTTTGCTTTTGCTCTGTTAACCCCCTCTTCTTCTCCTTGTCTTGTGTTTCGCCCGTCTCATTGCTCTATGGAACCAGCTTGCCAGGCTGTTCATACTTTTGAGCACATTTTGAACAAATTCAACCCAAATTGTGTCTCAGTCCATAAGAAATCCCAGTAGAAACCTGTCAGCTAAAGCTGCTTTCTCCAAAAACTGTCCGCGGCAGTGGTTTTCATGGCGTCCCCTGTTGAACTCTTCCCATCACCCCAGCGACCTTTAAATACCCTTCCTCTGCACTTTATCCATGACACTAAAACGCTAGGAGCGAGTCAGCCATTGCTGTTACCCAGCAGCACTTTCCTTCTGTTTGTTTTAAGCTCATTTCTGTTCAATGGTGGAGCTGAATTGGATGTGTCGTATCTGCCATCTGACGCTGGATATGGTTGGGAGGGTTCACATCTCCTCATTCTTTATGAAGGAATGAAGAAATAAGATCCAACCTTGGGAGAAACGAGACTCCTGCCAGTGCAGAGATTTGGCCAAGGGCTCCCATGACTAGATTTCTGATTTTGTTGATTAAAGAAGGCAGGGGAAAAAAAGCTGGATTTAGAGAACCTTGGTTTTGAGCTAGTGCTGCTCAGAAAGACTGGTGAGCTCCTGGAAGGAAGAATCCTCTCTAATAAGCATGTAAACATTCATGTTGTTTAATTTGCCATCTTGTCCCTGTTTCATTCTGTGTGTTAGTGCAAAAAAGGCTTTAGCTGCACTTGGAGATTTCCCTTGGCCAGAGGAAGCTGAGTCATGTCAGGAGAGGAGTAGAGGTGGAATGCAGACACAGGCTTAGAAGTTATCTCCGGCACTGTAATGTAGCATAATTAGATTATATGGGGTTGGCATAGCTTCATCCTTTATATTTGTATGGAGATCGGGAAAAATGAAGTACTTTGTAGTTTCTAGTGTAAAGTAGTAGTAGTGGAGACAAGCACAGATTTCACACGGGGGTTCCAAAAGGACGTTTCCAAATGTCTCGGGGAGCCGCCTTTGCACCTTAACAGGAATGGTTGTTGGGTTGTATTAACTGGTCAGTGAAGAAATGATCATTTAGTGATTTGAATATATGGCTGTTGTCGGTGGAGGGACTCAAAGGAGAGGAGGTGAGCATTAAAGACCAAACCTGGGGCAGCTTGGATGGGTAGGAGACAACTTGCCCATCCTCATTGTCAAGCATCTTGCTTCCTCATCTGGAAGCTGCTGCAGAAATTTTTAGGTGGGATCTCTGGCTATTGGTCTTGGATCCTCAGTTCCACATCTTCTGTGAGTAGAAAACCTGTTTTTAGATGTTCTTGTGTTTACTGCATAGCAGAAAAAGTAAAAACACTCCAGATGAAAGTTCTTTGCAAGGTAGGAAAACACTAAACTACCCTAAACTAAGAGG